TACCAAGGAGTTATTGGTATCATTTCATGGTTCCAGCACAAACGCTTCTACGATTTATTGCTGGGTTCACATCTCGGCTCTTTTCATGGATTTTTTCCAAGAGGCGCTTGAATATGGGGCTCTTGTTACACGTCCCTTGTGGTGTTGGCTAGAGCAAGCTGCATCAGCAAATGGCAATAAAGCTCACCAAGGCAATAACTCATGCTCACCAGCCTTGGCTTATTTAGAGCAGAGTGTTCCTAGATGGACTCCTGATGTAACCCTTCTACTTCCAAGCCCTGACAAGATGAAATTGAAAAGCTAATCACATCACCCAAGTTTCATACGTTGTTGTGGTTTGCTGGTTGAGGTGCGGGTTGTTATGAAAATGCACATACATTATATTACGTTTTAGAAAGAGACCTTTTGTAAATTAGTAAAAACCAGTGAGTCCATCCAGGAAAGTGGAAGCTGTGTTTAATTAAGACAAACCACCAAAACTTTCTATCAGGAAAAAAAAATTAAAGATTTAGAAACGGCTTAAATCACAGACTCTTAATTTGTTACGTGAACATACTGTCAATAAAAATCATTTTTCTAGGGTCTGTGTCAAAAGTTGCTGCCGATGCAGCAATCTACATCAGACCAAATCAAACCGAGTTAGAAAAAGCCCACGTTTAATGGCTGCAACACTCCTGGGTGGCCTTCCAGCCCCCCAGAGAGGAGAAGGGAAAGAGATACTGGAATACCTGTTTTCCAGGGAGCAGTTTAAATACCCTGTGGGAGAGGTCTTGAGAATCTCTGGGGGAGGAGTCATCATTTGGAAGGCTTTCTGATATGCAGCAGGGTTTGGAGAAAGATAAGGGAGGGGAGGGGCTGGGGTGGAACTTCCACCACAGCATCCCAGACTTTTTGGGTATATGGGTGCCAGGGGCTGGGGTGAACTTTCCACCAGAACACTGTGGAGTTGAAAGTGTACTCAGCAGCCCTGGTCTTTAACCAGAGGCTGTTGTCAAACCCTATTAGCTACTCCACCTCCAATGGGATGGAGAGCATCCATCAGATACTGGTACTTGGTGACAAACTATAAGGCAGAAAGTACTAAATCCACTGGTCTTCTAAACCCAGGAAAAAGAGGGCAATGCCCTAGGCTATCAGCTGTGACCAAAGAATGTGCGCGGAAGGCAATGGGGTGGGTGTAGTCAGACCCATGGCTTTTGCTAGCGACTGCAGACTTTATTCAATAAACATGACTTGATTCTTTTTCTAGATATCTCCCAATGTTACTTTCCAGATAGAAAAGAAAGAAAGAAAGAAAGAAAGAAAGAAAGAAAGAAAGAAAGAAAGAAAGAAAGAAAAGGATGTGGTGCAAATGGGGGGAATTAAGTGACCCAGTAAGTAGATAACTTTCTCCCATGGAAATGCAGTCCCAGTGGCCCTAGACTGATGTAATACTTTTAAAGTGCATCTGACTATAAAGGCAATGATGCAGTAAATACCTTTAATTTTTTAATTATTTTATTTTATATTATGAGTATTTTTCCTGGATGTATATCTGTATGTCCCATATGTGCCCTGTGCCCACAGAAGCCAGAGAAATCATCAGATCCCCTGGGACTAGAGATATATATGGTTGTGAGTGCTGGAAATTGAACCCTGGAAGAGCAGCTAATACTCTTAACTGCTGAGGCATCTCGCCAGTACCCAAACCTTTCAATTATGATATAGCATAGGAGTATCAAGACCCACAGTCTTTGCTGCTTTCTCATATTTTGAAACCCTCAGATGACATTAAAAAATCAGCATGCCACTTATTCCTGTGATATCTGACTTGTGCTGACATCAGTGACCATCAGTTTGACCTTCTTGGCAGATGTGTAGCCCAAGCTCCCCTGGCTCATTAGATTGCCCACCTCTCAGAGTTGAGTCACTCAGACTTTAATACACACATGGAGTCCCCTGGGGATCGGATCCCAGTGATGATCCTGGCGCTAGAGACCAGGGATCAAGGCCGAGGTTCCATATTTCTAACATGTTCCCACGTGTCGCTGAACTGAGATTTGCACACTGCATTGTAAATCCCCCCAATGTTCCCTAAAACTTCCAGTAGGAGGTAGAATCACAATTTAAAAATCGCCTGTGATTTGGTTCCTGAAAGATAACAGTGACTGATTTGAAAGTGAAATCTATTCTTTTTTTAAGACAAGAATTCTAAAACCCAGATATAGTCTTCCTAAAGGCTATATCCACAGATAGGCATCGTTTTAGATCTCACAGAGGTCCTTTCAGGTCGACCAGTATTGACTTCAGGAAGTGATCCAAAACCAAGCACACAGATTCATTTAAAGCAAAGCTCTAAGCCAGTATGTGCCCCAGCTACACTATTGACGTCTGCTTGGCTCTTTCTCTGCAGTAAATGTACATAAACAAATTAAAACGTGCTCTTTTTATTTTTGAAAACCTCTTCCTGAGAACAGAACTCAAGTCCATTTCCTTACCTCTAGCATCTGCCGTACAAAGTGCATTTAAATGTGGCATACCAAACAAGATTGCTATAATTATCAGAACTCATTCCCCTTGAAATGTATTAGCCTAGTAAGACTGGACGAAGGAGATAAACATCAGAGGTTCAAAACAGTCTGGTTCATCTATAAGGGCAGCATGGTTCTGATTTGGGTTTGTTGTTATTTTGGCTCTTTCCGTTTATTGTATAAAGAAGTTATACTAGTTTAAGTTAAAAGGGGATCCCCAAATGGTGACATTATACAGGTTGTAGGTTTTTAAATTTGTAACAAGAGACAGAAAGAAAATTCTATTTAGTGCAAGGAAATCCTCATTTGTGCTTCAGAGAGCCACAAGAACCCTCAGCTGATCACCCTTAGCCTTCTAGGCCATTCTCTACAGGAGCGTCCATGTTCTCTTGCTGAATCACGTCTCCATATTCTGGATGCTCAATAAGAACACCATTGCAAAATTTCTTCAGCAATGATTTCACTTGTTTCTTTTTGTCATAGTCATGGGTGATCCCTTGGACAGCAGTGAGGGCTGCCTACTGTTTGCCTGTTGAACTCTTATGTGGCTAAATTACCACTGCCAGCAGGAAGCAGGCCACCACCACCCATCCTAGCATCCGTCAGCCAAGGTGTAGAAAGAATGGAGGTTTTTCTTGGTGGAAGGCAAGCCTTTACACACTGAGCCATCTTGCTGATGCCGTGGCTCTGATTTTGATATTTACTTTTTTCTAATAAGCCTGTAACACTTCATAATCATCACCCTATTTCTTAGTCTATTAAGGGGATGGATGGCTTTATAGCTTTGGATTTGCAATACTAAAATACCAAAAAATTAATTTTTCTCTAATTCAGGCACATATTAAATAGAACATAGTGATAATACCTTGGATATGGATATGGATCACTTACTGAGGATAGATAAGCTCATCAAATGCTTGATTAATAGGCTCAAACATGACCATACTTCCCTATGCATATAAGGAAATTGGCAACAAAAAACAGCTGAATATATTCATCCAGGGATGATATGATCTGTACTAAACTACTAATGGTAATAATAATAATTCATGTAATAAGCCAGAGAGTGTTATAAGCACCTTGTACATGAGAAATTGTTCCTTATAACAATTCTATAAAGCAGGTACCATTATTGTCCTCAATTCATAGATAAAGTAAGGAATTATCAAGAGGTTAAATAATTCACTCAATGTTAAAAATAATAACAGCCTGATGGCGGTAGTGCCTGCCTTTAATCCTAGCACTGAGGAGGAAGAGACAGGTGGATCTCTATGAATTCAAGGTCAGCCTGGTCTACTGAGCAAGTTCCAGGACATCCAGGACTATACAGAGAAAGCCTGTTTCAAAAACAGAGAGAGAGAGAGAGAGACTAACCAGAAGCAGAACCAGGTTTCCCTCTCAGACAGCCTACCCTCTGAGCTCTCTCTTGTGCCAGATGCTGTCCTGGGTGATAATGGTGATCACCAGAAGCGTCCAGAGAGACAACAAACGTGAACATTCTTAGCATTTCCACTGGGATTCACCCACTCCTGACCATCAGAAATGTGATATCCTTCTTTCCAACAGAGCTTAAGTTTGAACTAGGAACCCTTCTAAATACAGTTTTCCAGGAATCCATCATCAATCATCTAGACCTCGCACATGGATCAAAAGGCGTTCCTAATTGACTACATGAAACACAATTATTTACTGACTTTGAAATGGATGAGTATTCAGAAAGAGGTCATTTTAGACTGACATTAGCCTCAACTCTGTTTAATAATCCAGTTTAGTCGTAGGCGTCCGTGCTTTCACATCAAAAGGAACTGCAATATCTGGGTGTGGTGGTGCACACCGTCAGCCCCAGAGCTCGGGAGAGGCCAGCCTCGTCTACACAGGGGCTCCCGGGCCAGCCAAGGCTACATAGTGAAAGCCTGTCTCAAAAGCAAGCAAGCAAGCAAGCAAACAAATAAATATTGTTGATAATGATGACGATAAATGCCAGGGCTGAAGTGATGACTCAGCGGTTAAGAGCACTGGTTACTCTTCCAGAGGACCCAGGTTTGAGTCTCAGCACCCACATGGCAAATTCATAACTATCTGTAACTCCAGTTCCAAAGGGATCCAACACCCTTTACTGGCCTCCTCAGGTGTTTGTACTTACATAGTGCACAGACATACATGTAGACAAAGCATTCATGCCCATAAAATAAAACAATAAAAATATTATAAGTCTATAAACAATTAAAAAACAGGGAGTTGAAGATGGCTTTGCGGGTAAGGTATTTAATGGGCAAGTGCAAACATCTGAGTTCTAAGCCCGGGATCCATGTAAAAAAGCCAGCACAGCAGTGTGCACCTGTAATTCCAGCACCGGGGAGGTGGAGACAGGAGGATGTCAAATCAGCAGACTCTGGTTTCGGTGAGAAATTGTCTCAAAAAATACAGTAGAGAGCAACAATTAATGTTGACCTCTGACATTCAGACACACGCACACACACACATTTAAAATTTTTTAAATGCCAAGATGGAATATTTATTTGACTTGTACAACTGATTATTGGCTGGGACCTGACTGGTCTCTCCATTGCTCAGGTAGTGGTTCTGTTCCATGAGTTCTTCCTTCTGTCATCAGGTAGGTGAGGCATGTTCTCCTGTGGCAATGGCAGAGGCAGAATGAAGCAGAGTACACCTGGGTTGGGACCTCTTACATTATCATGTCTACTCTTGTCTTTCAGATAAAGACACTGTCAGAAGGGAGAGAAAACATGCTCTGCCCACAGTGCATGCGTGAGTGTATGTGTGTGTGTGTCTGTGTGTGTGCTTGTGTGTGTCTGTGTCTGTGTCTGTGTGTGTCTGTGTGTCTGTGAATGTGTGTGTCCATGTGTGTGTCTCTGTGTATGTGTACCTGTGTATGTGCCTGTGTGTGTATATGTGTCTATGTGTGTGCATCTGTGTCTATGTGTGTGCATCTGTGTGTGTGTCTGTGCCTCTGTGTGTGCCTGTGTTTGTGTCTGTCTGTGTGTGTGTGCGCGTGCATGCGTGTGTGTGTGTGTGTGTGTGTGTGTGTGTGTGTGTGTGTTTGTAGGGCACTGAAAATTCGTGCAGTTAAAAAAAAACAAAAACAAACAAAACAAAAAGCTTGACATGGCTGTGTGATGGGAGAACCAAGACCAGTGCTGTAGGAGTTAAGATCTCTGGACATAGATTCTTAGGTTATTTAATAACAATAGCATAATAATAATTTCCCACAACAATGGGGGGAAGGTTAAATAAGCCATTGACCTCAGAAGGCTCATTCTACTGGGATATTCTTGTAGGAAGAACAATAGTATCAAATTCCTCTATCTTACAGTTCATTCCTAAGCACCAACATTTCACTGATAAGCACCAACAAATAACTTTTACTATCATATGATTGCACCTCTTATAGCAATTCTAAGCAAGCAGCTTTTGAGATGTCATTCTTCATATTCTCTATTTGTTCTTAAAAGGAATTTTCCTGAAGCAGAACACATCTTAAAGTCAAGTACTAGCCCTCCAGAGGTAGATTGCTACCTTCTGTATACTCCAGGGAGAACAAAATAATTGGATTGTGTTTCCTCATTCATGACCACTTAAATATTCATTTTCTGAGGTTACATTTTAGTGTGTTTTTATGTTTTATTCAGGACACAATGTTCCAGCAAACATCACAAGCCTAAATCAATGGCTTATACTGACATTAAATATGCCATTAGCATGCTCCTTTCCAGAAATATCAGTGAGAAGCTGTCAACAAACCTACAAAGAAAGCCTGTCTACATTTGAAATAAATGATAAAGTAGGCACAAGAAATAAGAGAGGAGAAGGGATTTGAGGGTATCTAATTCCCTTCATGGCCAACAGAAATTACTGTCGTTTCTGTAATACTCAGAGCTGACAGCAAAGCTCAGGCCAACTTTCTGAGTTGTCTCAGGCAGGTCCTTTCACCCCTGGAGTTTACATGCTCACAGGTAATGTGACTGACACCTTAGAGCCTTGGTCTCTAATACCCACATCACCCTGAGCAGTTGGATCCACACAGTGCATTCCTGAGATTGACAGCCCAGATATACTCATCTGAACCATACAGCATACATCAGATTACTGAATTTGTATCCATTTTCATTCATCCATTGACCAAGCTAAGAATGTTTGCCTTTAAATACAATATACATCCCATGGCCTGGAATTGATCGCAAAAATGAAAATGAGAAGCCTGTGATGATAGCTCAGGGAAGTTGAGGAAGTGACAACTGCTTGGTACAGGATAGCAATGGTGGGAGCATGGGCTGAACTTGGTGGTGCACCTGAGGTCAGTGGCACTTTTCATAAAGTTCCTACTTAGAGAAGGATGCCATCAGTCATGAGTGCTGACAGCAGAGATGAACAGAGGAAATGAAGATCATCAGTTACATCTCTCTTGAGCTCATTTGCATTTCAGTCATATTCACCTCCTACTTCCCATCTCCAGCATCTCCACCCAATGACTCTTCTCTCACACTCACACTGAGGCCAGTTAGTGCTGCCTATACATGCACGGCCATCTTCCAGGCATGGACAATTTACCAGGGCTACATCTTTAAAGAAAACTGACTCTTCCTCCTCTAGCAGTCATCAAAGATAGAGTTGCAGCTCTAGCTTGAGCTCTTTTTTGAGTCAGTCCAGTAATAACTCTTGTTCATAATGATGACCCAGGGTTATTCAGAATGTTTGCATCTTGGTTAGGGTTTTCATTGCAGTGAAGAGACACCATGACCACAGCAACTCTTGTAAAGGAAACATTTTACTGGGCAACTCATTCACAGATTCAGAAGTTCAGTTCATTATCATCATGAAGGGCAGCAGGGGGGTGCTGGAGTTGACAGTCTTTATATCATGACTAAGAGGCAATAGGAAGTCAACTGACTGTCACACTGAGGGAAGCTTGAACAAAAGAGACCTCAAAGTCCACCCCACAGTGACACATGTCCTCCAACAAGGCCACATCTCCAATAGTGCCACTCCCTTTGGGAGCCTGATGGGGGAAGTCCTTCTGTGTATATGTTTGTCTTATTGGTTGATAAATAAAACACTGTTGGCCAATAGGGAAGCAAGATAGGTGGGACTAGGAGTCGAGAAGGATTCTGGAAAACAGAGGCATAGGAAGTCACCATGTAGGACACCAGAAGAGTAAGACATCCAGACCCTTTTTCCAGTAAGAGACCATGTAGAAATACTCAGATTAGCAGTTACGGGTTAATAATTAATTCAGAGCTAGCCAACATGAAACCATTACAAACGGCCAACAGCTTCTTAATTAATATAGTGTCCTGCATGTTCATTTGGTACTGACACAGCTCTGGGACCAGACGGGCGAGAAGAATGCACATTACAGGGGCCATTTTCTTTCAACCCACCACAGTATAGAATTGTATCTGTTAACTATTTTAAGAAATAAATGTGTGGGCCCTGGAGAGGTAGCTGAGCAGTTAAGGGTGCTTGCTGCTCTTTCAGAGGGGAAGGGTTTGGTTAATCCATGTCAGGTAGTTCACAACCACTTGTAACTCCAGCCCCATGGGATCTGATGCCATCTTCTACTTCCAAGGGAACTTACACTATGTTCATGCACACAGACATTCAAACATATAAACTTTCTTTAAAAACAAAAGTACAGGATAAAAAGTATTTTAAAAGTTTTAATGGCACATGTCTTTAATCTCAGCACTTGGGAGGCAGAGGTAGATGAATCTCTGTGAGTTCAAGGCCAGCCTGGTCTACAGGACAGGCTCAAAAGATACACAGAGAAACCCTGTCTCAAAAACAAAAAACAACAAAAAAAGTTTTAATGAACTTTGCTTTATATAGGAATAGGGAATATTTTTTATTTATTCTTTGGTGACTTCATACATGTATACAATGTGTTTTGATCCTATATACTCCATTCATCCCTCCAGCTTCCTCAGGACTCCCCAAATGTCCACCCCTCCCAATCTCATATCCTCTGTTGTTTTTAATACCCTACTAAATCCAATTAGTGCTGCCCAAATGCACGTGGCTGTGGGGCCATCCATGGAAGCATGAGCAATCCTCCAGTGGCCACACTCCTGGAGGAAAATAGCTCTCCCGCCTCAGCAGCCATCAACTGACAACAGCGCTTCAGCTGGGGTTCTTTTATATCTTTGCCAGCTTTGTTGAGATATAATGAGCATTCCATAAAACCCACATTTTAAGGTTATGTTCTGAAGAGGGTTGATACAAGGGTATACCTGTGAAGTCATCACCAGAACTGAGTACAGACCCTACAGGTTTTCTCCAAAAAAAGATTATCCCTGCCCCCTCTGTAATGCCTCCCACTGCATCTCTCTACCCCCACACCCAGTCTCCAGGCACAAGTGATCTGCTCTCTCTGTACGCATGGATTCATTTTCATTTCCTATCAATGAACCCAGACATTATCTTCACTCTTTGTTTGGCTTCTTTCACTGGACCCTGGGAATCATGCCATTTTTCCACCCATGCTTGTAGGAAGGAGCTCTGTTTCTGGGGAGTGAAAGCCAGGGAGCCTGCTCTCCTTTAACTATTTGAATAGTTCTTTCAGGAAACCCAGGTGATTTTTTTATGCTTTCATGAGCCAATGGGAACTTGGCTGAAAACCAGAGAGGATCCTGTGCTGGTCTCTGGAGCTATTCTCTGCGCATGTCTTTCCTCTGTGGCACTCTGTCCTTGGATTCTAACTGCTCACCTACATGGCCTTCCATCTCCAGCACCTAAACTCAGTGATTGACAAGCTCTATTCTGGGCTCCCCTCCTTGAAACTGTCTCAAGACAGTGAGTTGGGCCACCGTGGGCTCGCCTTTGTTCATCAGTCGGCACTGTCTTGCCATCTCATATTCAGTTTCTTGAGAACCATTATTTCATGAATTTCTTTGTACTGATTTGCACATTAGGGAGGAAGATAAATGTGACTGTCAGCACTCCAGATAGCCAGAAGCAAAGATTCAAAACCCATTAAGCATTTTAATACCAGCAAAATAGAAGGTCTGAGGTTTAGGGCTATTTTAACATCTTACATTTTGTGGGGTCTACTTACTCTTCAATGATGGCAGATGATAAAACAAGGTTTTAATGGGGGATTTGTCACTCACCATAAGGTTGTCCAACTATGAATACCAGAAGATAGTAGGCTCTGAATGGAGAGTCATGCAGATCTAAATGCATGTTTTCAAGGAGCAACAAGAAGAGATCAACAAACAATCAACTTTTTTGAAGAGTCAACATTGTAGATGTCACCAGACTGTCAAACTTTTAATGTCTTCACCAGAGTGGAACCTAGCAAGACTGTGGACACCTCAGATGTGGACACACAGCTTCTAGAGTGCCTTCTTCAGCTTTTCCCACCCTTCAGTGTCTAGTTATTGAGCTGCTGTTATCTGTAGATGTTCAAGGCCACAGGAAGAAAGCAGAGAGGGTCTCCACTTCCTAGAACTCAGTAAACAAAGCAGACAGTAAGCAAATGATAGCTCAATAGTTGTATTAAAACCTAAAGCAGAATGAAGGGCAGTATTTTTGATAGAGCTGTCAAAAAAGGACCCTTTGAAGAATCTCAATGGATTTGAATGACTTGAAAGAAGAATAAAGAAAACACTAGAAAAGAATATTCTGGCAAAATAGAACAAAGAGTGCAAATACACTAAGGAATAAATGAGCTGGCCTTGATAACAGGGTTCTGATGGGAATGTAACCTAACATCAGCAGTGACTAAACCACCTACTTGGCATACATTCATTCATTCATTCATATACCCATGCACATTATAATGTACGCGGCACCCTGCTGCATGTGTGAATACCAAGAGAAGTTATCTCAAAAAGACTCACAGGCACAATTTATTGAGAGGACAGATGATATCTCTAATAGTCAATAATCAGTATAATGAAAATAATGGGTCTCTTTGTTGAAGGGTCTGAAAGGTGTATTCATTCTGAGAGGCCAAGACTACACAACATGTCTCACTGAGCTACCACGCCATACTAGAAGGAAAGGCGGAGGACTATGTTAAGAGCTTTTGAGGGATGATACAAGATTGTGTACCACTGAAATATGGCTGTTGACTGAGAGAAACAATTTTGAGCAGAGCAAGATCATGTTAGCCAGACACTTTCCCTCTGGATTCTCATGTCCAAACTCTTAAGCAGACAAACACACGAACAAGGATAAAATATTTTCATTGCTGGCATTCTGTTTCAAAAAGGGAGAGGGATAGAGTGAGGTGCACCCTTAATCTTAAAACTCGTAAAGCAGAGACAGGTGGACTTCTGTCTGTTTGAGGGCAGCCTGGTCTACAAAGCAAGTTCCAGGCCAGTTAAGAGTTACATGGCAAGACCCTATCTTAAAAATAAAACAAAACCAAACCAAGTGTGTGGGGGGTCGCATTTGGAGAAGTGGTTTCCACTCAGCTGCCTTCACCAAGGAGTTGCTAGAACACACTTTACCTGGAAATGGAAATGGGGGTGGGCAGTTGGAGTCACCACAGACAGAATCCATAACCACCAAAGCCCAGTTGAGCATCCTGTACTTCTCCCTGGGACATGAGGAAATACTGTGAGCACACAGCATTCACAGAAGTCCCTAAATTGCCCCAGTGCAAATATAGGACTTGGAATTCTATATGCTTCGCTTATAACCTTAAGGTAGCCACCTGCTTAGCATCCTGGGCTAATTACTAGAACTTTCCCAACTTTTTTTTTTTCAGCCATTAAAAAGGAATACTAATAACATCACTCTAGATTTTAGGTCACCATAAGGTTTGAACGGCACATGGTAAGTGCTTACACAATGGTAGCTATTTCAAAGATGTAATGATTATGATTGATCATCGTGTGAATGAGTTTTTAGCCAAGAGAAGAAAGATAAGGAAATACAGCTCATAAAGTATAGTTGGGATCCACCTCGGTCCCCATGCTGCTGTATGATGGGAAACACTGACTAACCCTAGAATCAGATCTCGGGGATTTGTTTGCTATGCATCTTAAACCAGCTTCCTCTATTTTTCCTTTTGTTTCTTACAAGGTTTGCTTTCAACCTCAGGGTGCAAGGTGTCCCTCTTCTTTCTAAAGAAGAGCCGATGGTGGGATGGACACTACCGCTCTCACAGGCGCTGCCTCCTTCACTCTTCAGCCTAGAAAAACTCATTTTTCAGGCCTATAAACACAGCTGCTCAGGGCCCATCGACACTTGGCTAGTGTCTTCTATCTGCCACATGGTAAGGCTGTCCCCATGCAGAAGCCTTGAGAGCAACCATCCCTCAGGTCCTGACACATGCTGCCCAAGAGACCAAAAATAAACACCTTCTTCCCAGTGTTTTGCTGTATTTGTTTCCTGTTGCCTGACTACCTGTGTCCAGATCCATAACAGCCTCTGAGCCCCAAGGGTAAATTCATTTCGCATCTGCTCTTGCCTTTGAACAACAGCATCCATGCCTTTTAAAGATCCCAGTCCTAGGAATTATAGCTCAGAAAAGTCCTCAAAGCAATAGGGGTCTATATAAGTTCCCTGCTTGTGTTCTCACAGGCTACCAGAAACAGACCACCAGGCCCCCTTGCCTGACCAAATGCATTGTGAAGACTACTATTCTGATCCACTAGGGAAACAATCGGAGACCGTCTTAAGAACTGTCCTCCAAAGTACCTGAACCTGGTGCTCCAAGCACAGTGTTCATCCTCGGGAGAGCCCATACACTCCATTCGCAGCCTATCTCCACAGCCCCATAACTCCATTCGCAGCCTATCTCCACAGCCCAAGCTTTTGTAGAGACTCCTCACGCCAGGCCTCATCCTAAGGATGCCTTTGGAGAGACAGACACGAACTTACCTATGTGTGCTCTGACATAGGCAGTGAAAAAGGGTGAAAGAAACTTCCTGAGTCTAGCTGGAAAACAAATTTGGTTTGGACTAGATAGATAGATAGATGATAGATAGATAGATAGATAGATAGATAGATAGATAGATAGATAGATAGAATTGATAGGAAAAGCAAAATTTGAAGGAAAAAAAAACTGGGAAAATAAAATCCAAAAAGGGAGAACATGCAACTTGAAATTTTAGTGTCTGAGAGAAGATATATATATATATATATATATATATATATATATAATTACAAAGATGCACTGAAGGGAAACACGGGAGAGTTATTTGGAGCAGGAGAAGATACAAGGGAGAGAAGCAGAGTGATAGAATTCATGACCAGGGGTGCTGGGGATAGAATTTGGAATGGCATTTGAACGGGTGAGATTGGCAGACAAAAATCTCCTTCCAGACATTCACGGCAGAGAGAGTGAGATTAGCCCCTTAATAGGCAGGATTTAAGGTCGATGTTAGAAAATATCCTGGTATAAGGATTTTGAGAAAAATGTGGAAACTCCATTTCTGAAAATATTAAGAAGTAATGAAGATAAGCACCATGCTTCAATGGTGGCTTAAGTCGAACCCAGAGACATGGCTGCAAGGATGATCCACCCAGAAGCAGCTACAGTTCCGCTACAGTTTCTCCAATCCAATTCCTTCTTCAGCGTAGTGTATCTTAAAGGGATTTCCTTAGAAGCTTTTGGTACTTACTGGGCTTATCTGTCCTAGATCTTCTTAGCTCTAGTCCAGCTTCCTGACCAGCAGCCCCTGTTACCATATTTTCTATAACTCTTCAAGGGCAAGATCCTATCATTTCTCTCTAAATCACTGCCCAGCACTGTGTTCCACACGGAGGTAGGATCGAGAAACAGCCCCAGGCAATGTCCACATAGAGGAAAAACAGCAAAGATAAAGGAAGATAATAGAAACCTCAGCAATGTCAAACTCACATGGTTTATTTCCTGCCTACACACCCACACACACACACACACACACACACACACACACACACACACACACAGAAAGAGAGAGACAGAGACAGAGAGAACCAGAGAGAGAGACAGAGATCTTTTAACTTCTGCCCATTTGGTGATTGGTTTTATGTGCCAGTTTGTCTGGGGCAAGGGACACTGGGTAGCTGGAAAAGCATTAATCTCCGTCTGCCTCCAAGGTGTTTACAGACAGGTCAACCTGTGGCACCACAGCCTGAGTAACGAAGGTGCTGGCCTCTTGGGAGGCAGGTGCACTTCATCAAGCCCTTGGTGGCTCAGACAGAGCAAAGAGGAAGAGGAAAGGTGTCTGCACTCTGTTGAAGCCAAGCATCCACACGACCAGAACTGACACCAGCAGTCCAATCTCGACCTATGTCCCCCCAAAGCCCTCATCCATCACCCCCATTCCCAGCCCCCCAAATTCAATTAGGGAGTTACACGAGCACACTGCCTGCTCCCACTCATCCTTTTAACTCTGTCTGCGTCCAGTTCCAGTCTTTTACTGGGGAGCAGGAGCCAGACCTCCATTTCTGAGTATTAGCGCTGTATAATAGGTGGCTTGCAGGGTTGCTTTTGATAGTGGTGTGTCGCGTCTGCTGCGCGGCCTGTGTCCGAGAACGTGCGGAGGGTGTCGGGGATTGACAACACAGAGACTTGTTCAACGATGTAAAGAAAACTTTAAGCAGGCCCCAAAAAGGTTCAAGAAAACTTCCTAAGAAAGGCTCCCACCAGAGAAGCTTCTGCTCTCTCCTCTCCCCTGGCTGGTTCTGCTCTCACCCAAAAACTGATCTGGGCGTGGTGGTTAGTCTTTGGACAAGGTCGAGGTCAGGGTGGTTTCTGTGGGCAGGCCTTTTCCAGGAACTTAATGCCCCCAGGCATTGTATTGTTTTTAATAAACATTGTCTTACAGCTGCCTACTCCCAGGCAGAAGGGGAAGTGGGTCTCTGCTCAAGGTCTGGTGTTCCCACAGTGGTGGAGGGCTGAAGGCTTTTTAAATTAGTAAATGTTTCGAAGAAAAAGGAAACGCAAGACAATAATATAATCTGTTATCACATTTGCCATCTTTACACTTACATCTTTTTTAAAAATGCAACAATGAAAAACAGACTCTAGCTCAAGCTCGCATTTGAGTCTTCCTGACACCCACTGTCCCTTTCTCCCTCCTTCTCTCACCACAGGGAACCACTACTGGGTATGTGGTATCTTTCCCATATGCGTCTTGTACTTGTATAACTTATTTCCAAATATATAAACAATATTGCTTTAGCTTTCCATTTTTCCATGCACTATACACCACATGCTATTGTGCTTGAAACATCTCCCACAGGCTTTGTGTTGGAACACTTGGCCTCCAGCTGGTGGTCCTATTCTGGAATGTTGTACAGCCATGGCTCTCAACCTTCCTAATGCTGTACCCCAGTGGCACACTTCCTCCAACAAGGCCACACCTACTCCTAGGAGGCCACACCTCCTAATAGTGCCACTTCCTATGGGCCTATAGGGGCTATTTTAATTAATTCAAACCGCCACACAGTGGTAAGAAAAGTAACTAAAATCCTATGGGTCCAGGACATGCAAGCAGATGTCTCCTAAAGTCCACTAGTGGGGAAACAGTTCATTCTTATGTAACACAGAGAAGAGATGGGCTTCATTGGGAAGCAAATATGAACTATTACAATGTGTAGTAGCAACATTTTAATTCACAAACTTATATTCTGGAAACTAAGAAGAGCTCTGCAGAAGTGTCCCCACGCAGCATCTCCCGCACTCTCCGGAAACTCTGCCCACTGTTTCAGTAAGAGCTCTCAAGCAATACAGCTTTGCCCAAAGAGATGAGAGGCAGAAGACCAAGGTAAATTACACAATGTCAGAGGCAGGTTCTCAAGTGAAACCCAGCCACAAGGACACTAGAATCTCACCCTGCTGCAAGTGCTTCAGACTGAGCTTCTTCAAGAGCTAGAGTCTTTTACTGTGCACTAGAGACTGGACTTTTATATTTATCTTTCATTATATTTAAGGGCACTGAAATCTGCTTTGGATGTAAGCAAGGCACAACGTCACTGCCACACTTTGAGTGGGAGCTAGTGCCGTGTGTTGGCAGGTGTTTTTCTTTAAGCCCCTGGTGTCTAATTTAGCTGTACTACAACGGGCATAACTTTCTGCCCATGCTTCCCAGCCTCTGATTTTGTCATGATCCATGGACATGTATCCCCTGTCTCTTTATGTATAAACAGGGCTAAAAGGGCATCTCAGGACAATTGACACTGCTGGGTTAAAATCTTGTTAGGATTCTCTGGGTGTAGACTCCCTTCCACAAATCCTTCTCTCCCAATTTAAAATCAGCCATCCTTCCCCTCTGGATAAAGACTTTCCTCTGACTTGCCTGGAATAAGAAGTCACTTGATGACTGTTAGAACCTTCTCCTTTGTTGAGAAAGAAAGGCTTCCTCCATTCCATATGCCAGAGCCATGGTTCCCAACCTTCCTAATGCTGCAACCCTTTAATACAGTTCCTCACGGTGTGGTGGTGACCCCCAACCATAAAATGATTTCTTTGCTACTTCATAGTAGAAATTTTGCTGCTGTTATGAATCATAATGTAAATATCTGACATGCAAGATATCCGATATGTGGCCCCCAAAGGGTTGCGACCCACAGGTTGAGAATATTGTGCTTGCACTT